ATGGCAGGTGATCTGAATGGTCACGTCGGCAGTGACAGAAGAGGCTTGGAAAGGGTGCACGGAGGTAGAGGGATAGGAACGAGGAACGCTGAGGGAGAGAGGGTTCTGGACCTGGCTACAGCCCACGATCTGGCAATCTGCAGCACGTTCTTCGCGAAAAGGGAGACTCAGAAGGTAACCTACAGCAGTGGAGGGAGACAGACGGAAATCGACCATGTGCTGGTAAGAAGATCATCCCTCAAAACTGTGAAGGATATCAAGGTACTACCCGGCGAAGACTGGCTCCCCAGCACAGGCCCCTCCTGGCAGACATTGCCATAGACCTCCCCAAGAAGACAAGGGTAAGAACCGAGAGGAGAATCCGGTGGTGGAAGCTGCACCAAGCGGAGAAGGATGACCTCAGGCGAAAGATAAGTCGGTCTCAGCGAGTCGTGAGCAGAAGAAGGAAGCATACAAGCGCTGGCAGAAGACCCGGAGCCCCGAAGACCTCGCTACCTACAAGAGTTGCAAGAGGCTCGCTAAGGCTGCGTCGCCAAGGCGAAGAACACGGAAATGGACGCCTTGTACGAGAAGTTGGAAAGCAGAAACGCAGAGAAGTTCGTCTTCAGGCTGGCTAAGGCCCGGCATCGGCTACTCAAGACATCAGGGTGGTGAAGAGTGTAAAAGGCAGCAATGGTGTCATCCTGAGGAAGCCAGCCGAAGTCAAGAGGAGGTGGGAAGAGTACTTCAGGGCTTCTGAACGAGGAGTTCCCCCACAAGAACAACTCACGGGCAGAGGCCACAGCTGGTCCCATCGCACTCTGGACAGAGGATGAGGTTAGGTGTGCACTTGGGAAGGATGAAGGTTGGAAAGGCGGTTGGTCCAGATGGGGTGCCAATCGAGGCATGGAAGGCGCTCGGAGAGTACGGCATAAGGTGGCTCACCAGCTTCCTGAACAAGGTAACTGTGGAAGGAAGGATGCCGGATGCCTGGAGAACAAGTACTATCGTCCCCATCTTCAAGCAGAAGGGTGACGCGATGGACTGCTCCAACTACCGCGGGATCAAGTTGACTGCATGTACGAGCGACTGGTCGACTCGAAACTGCGGGAGCTGGTCCCGATCTCCCAGGAACAGTTCGGGTTCATGCCCGAAAGGTCTACAACGGATGCCATCTTCATCGCAGGCAAGTGATGGAGAAGTATCGAGAAAAGCGCCGACCCTGCTACCTAGCCTTCCTCGACCTGGAGAAGGCGTTCGACCGGCTACCGCGAGCAGTGCTATGGAGATCGCTCAGGGAACGAAACGTGCCAGAACACCTGATCTCTCTGGTGAAGGACATGTACGAAGGAGCCATACGCACCCCTCACGGCCTAACGAAGGAGGTAAACATCACGGTTGGGGTGCACCAAGGGTCAGCTCTGAGCCCCTTCCTCTTCCTCCTAACACTAGATACCATGGTGAAGGGCTCATGGAAGGACCACTGAAGACCATCCTCTACGCTGACGACATCGCCCTGATAGCGGATAGCAGAGAGGAACTTCAGGCCAAGGTGCAGAAATGGCAGAAGGTCCTGGCAGAAGGTGGGCTCCGGCTGAATGTCAAGAAGACCAAGTTCCTGAGCTCCGAAGAGGGTGCAGAGCCGATCGTGGACGGCCATGGTGAGACCATCGAAAGAGTGGAGGACTTCCGATACCTTGGGAGCGATCTGGCAGCCGACGGCAGTGTGGATCAGGCGGTGAAGGCTCGGGTCAACGCTGCATGGATGAAATGGAGGGAGTCCACTGGAATCCTCTGCGATCGAAGGTGCTCCAGAACGCTCAAAGGGAAGGTGTACCGGACAGTGGTAAGGCCTGCGATGCTATACGGCAGCGAGTGCTGGCCCCTGAACAAGAATCACGAAAGGCAGCTTCACTCCGCTGAGATGAGGATGCTGAGGTGGGCCTGCGGCTGGACAGGGTTAGAAACGAGGATGTCAGAGCGGTCATGCAGACTGCCCCTGTCCAGCTGAAGGTACGGGAACAGCGTCTGCGATGGTATGGGCATGTGCTAAGGAGGCCACAGGATCATCCGATAAGAACAGCGATGGACTTCGAAGTGCAAGGCAAGCGACCGCGAGGAGCCCCAAAGAAGAGGTGGAGAGACGTAATCAAGAAGGACCTAAGTGAAGTCATGGCCACAGCAGAGATGCCCTGGACAGAGCAAAGTGGCGACGACTGACAAAGACAGCGGACCCTGCGACTGCGCGGGACTAACGCTAGGGAGAAGAAGAAGCTACCTCTGACCCACTGTGTCCCGCTGATCATCGATTTGAAATTTAAAGGCACAACGCACACAGAAATCATGTGCGCGATTCCCTTCGTTCTATAGGGAGAGACCCCTTCAGAATATGTGGCACTACCGTGTATGGAAACCACCCAACAAAATGCGTTAATGCGATGTTAGCTGCAACAGCTGCAATGCTCCACGTCCGCGCAGATGGCTGTTGTCTGGTGCACTCTAATCTGTCGCGCTGTCTCGGCCAATGCTCTCCCATTCGTGCCAAGTCTCTCTGTGCCTTAGCACACCCGCTTCCCGAAGACGGGCAAATCCTCAACCTGAGCGTTTTCGTGAGATTCTTTTCCTTTTTTTACGGCCGCAAATCCCGCAACCAATTCCTCAATGGCATGCTTTTACATTCATTTTTAATGAACCACGATCAATAAACATACTATCCTTCCCCGAAATTTTTTGTTCTTTTTTGGGCTGCGTGTTGTACTGTGACAGTGAGTTGCTTCATGGATATTGATGGTTATATAGAACTCACGTCTGCAGTATAAGCTGTTAGCATGCTTCACATCAGTAAATGAGACGTCACCACGTTGTCCAATTGTATGTTGAAACCGATGATCCTGAAAAAATCCCTTCCATAATTGGGGGTGAAAAGTTTTTCACTGGGTAGTGGCATGAAAGTTATTGTAGGGGCAGTCTCCGGGAATGGATATAACCTTTTTAGTGCTTGAAGAGCATTGACTAGGTGGATTAACAGTGCTTTGGGAAATCCCTAAAAACTAAATATAGAGAGAAGATATTTATAACTGCACAAGCTGCGAGAATAATCTTTATGATACAGTTGGTTACTAGTTTGTTAAAGAACAGCGGTGACATATTGGTAGTGAGTGCAAAGGAGGTGCATGACAAGGAGACGTAGATTCTGCAAGGATGCGAGACAAGTGTTTAGGTCACCGCAGGCGGCGCCTACCGTTCCTTGCAGGTTCGAACGTGGCAATTCGTTAGGACTAACAAGGAAGGTCTTTCAGGGTGTGCCAAGCTTTTTCAAAACGGTCTTTTGCATGATATAGGGGCACATGCGGGAACCACAGAACCATGGTTAATTTTTCCTGAACGGCCCTCTGAATACCAGAAAAGGGGGTCCCTAGTCACACCTTTTTCACCAGTTTTTCAATCAAAGTCTATTTGTAAGGGTTACTGACGGTCCTAATCATGAATATGGTACTAATTATTCATGCTAACTCCATTTTGCGCGAATTTTGAAACGTCAACTCGAAATGCAAAAATTTGTCACCACGAGGAATCGAACTAGGGACCCCTTTTCTGGTATTCAGAGGGCCGTTCAGGAAAAATGAACCATGGTTCTGTGGTTCCCGCATGTGCCCCTATATCATGCAAAAGACCGTTTTCAAAAAGCTTGGCACGCCCTGAAAGACCTTCCTGGTAAGTGAAAAAAAGGCATAGTATCGGTCGTCTAGAGAGGCGGGTCCTGAACCTGGCCAATTGCCATGTTTCAAACTGCGGAAACGCCGGCGACGTCGCGCGCGGTGACCTAGTTCGGCGCGGCGGTCGCGAGGGACTCTTGACCGTCCGCAGAATCTGCATTCTCGCTGCGCGACAAGCCTCCTGTCGGGTACCCAGCTTTTCTCTGTCCCTCCCCTACTGCTTCCCGATACGACACCCCTGCTTGCAGACTCATAGTTTAAATACCTAGCCTTTTCAGACTAAAAGGAAAATCAATACGAAAACAAAAAGTTACCTTTGTTTCGACTGTGACTAACTTCCAATTTTTTGTGAATGCCTGAGGAGCATAGTGCATGACAGATCCGAAATCGTAAGGAATTTCTGAGTCCATAATATCGCTTCGTTTTTCGAAGTTACCCTGAACCACATCAGTTGGAGGCACGAATAGGAAAGCACATGATGAGACACCGAAGGCCTGTATGGCATCTAACCCCCTACGCTCTCCATGTCGACCACTTTCTTCTCTAGATTCTCTTAGAAGAATATGACACAAAGATTGAAAACCAACCTTTGCTCCTGGGCTGATGTTATCCTCGTTGATGTTGATGAATTCATCCCTGTCAGGCCTACTTTGCTCATGCCAGAAACCAAGAGCATGTCCAATTTCGTGAGCAACAATGCCTTTCTAGACAGGTTCAAAAAAGAGCTCGATAAGTTCTATAGCTCACACCTATCAAGCAGTTGTTGAGTTAGCTACGCCTGTTCAGGCTAATCTCATTTTTGGGTCCGAGAGGGAACTTAAAAGGGGACCTGGAGGTCTTAAAAATCGTCAGCCTAACCCACAAAAAAAAGTGTGTCACACTATGTGGTAAACTTGTTCAAAGCAACGTGTAGAATGATTGAACGATTACCGACCCGTGCTGCCTCTTGCTAAAGGACGATTCTAGGGTAAGGTCCAAATCAAAGAAGGAGAAACTTGTCTGTTGGAAAGATAGGCGGGCGCGAACCGACAAGCACTTCGCAGCAAAGTTTATGCCCCTGGCGATCCTGCATGGCCCTAACAGCGGCGCTATCGACGCTGCACGCCTCCCTCTCGCAATTCAGCAGAGAGCGTTAACATGGAAGAGGGTAGCACTATTGAGAGTCGCATCAATGGTAAAATCAAGGGGCTAGTGAAGGCTCGGGTTCTGGGAAGTATCTTGTCATTTTTTCCGTATCCATGCACCAGTGAGACCCTCTTCCTTTTTTTATGATGAGCGGCCTTTCTCTAGCAAAACCCCCTTCAGTCGTAGATCTTAGACGCTGATATCGGGCTCGTTTGGAGGGAACGATCGCGTAAAATTGAAATAAAAGCAGAGCTGCAGACGGTGCGCCAGTAAAGAAAAAACCTATGAATCGTCCACAGAGCTAGGGCTAGGGTTCTCAGTCTGCTTGTTGATATAGGCGAGTTTATGGCTTCGTTAGAGTTGTGGGAGGAACTGTATATAAAAGTGGCGCATGAAGTTGTTTTGAACGGCTCCACATGATTTCCGTACACTTAAGGACACCAGATTGACAAAATTCTTTTTTATTTGATTCTGAAGAACTTCGCTATCAAAAAATTGATACACAGGGCACAGGAAACCCGTGGCTCAGCCTCAAAAAAATGTTCCGTAAATAACGAGGGTTAGGAAGAATGAAGAACAGCGCCTAAGAGGTAAGTTACCAACAGCTAAAAGGTGCCCAATGTCTTTACGTAGGAAGTTTCGTAAGAATGCTGGGTTGTGAACAAAACTTTCGAACCCAGACGGGACTCGAACCCGAACCCGAACATTTTCCGGACAAGTGAAAAAATTCAATTAAATTAAAACGAGTCAAAATTCATTGCTGTAGGAAAGGTTCTTGGGCACGATTAATCTCACAACAGTAAGTCTTTTTGATGGACCTTTATGAATTTAATAACGAAACCACTGGGAGTGCATCCAAAATCATGGCACGCATTGTATGCACCACATTCACGAGGATTTTAGCTCATCATTTTGAGACCATAAGACTTACCGATTCGCAGCCCCATCCAATTGAAATGTACTGACGTCCTCCAGTTCGCCCAACGCTCGAGTAACACCTAAACAGATAAGATTCGATTATACTCAATGTAGTAGTTCTAGGTTTCGTTCCTTTCAAAAATCCTTGTACATTGAATTTTCCACCGAACGATGTTGTTTTGCCTCAGCCCATCGACGAAAGCCTTCGACGGCCCAGGCGACTGGCGCCGAGGAACTCTCTTGAGAATTACCATGAGACTTTCAAACTGCCCACGGTTTGCCTTGGGAGCACTAGACTTGGTGCTTAAGTGGGATTAAGCTAACCCTAACTGTTCTCGATTTATGTTAGAAGACGAAAGAGGGATGACGTTCCACGAGAAGCAGGGAAGTCGAAAATGAAGATATTGGCAACGATACTGATGTTGATCAGGTAGGTGTTCTCAGGTCCAAACACTACCATGAACAGTCAACATCAAACCGGATGTGAAAAAGGAACAGGTTCTTAGAAGGAGGTTGATTTCCCTTTAAAGACCAAAGAAGGTGACACGCTGTGAATGACAAATTTGAAATTCTTGCGAAGGAACGGCTTGATGTTCCCATAGAAAGGACAACAAAGCAAGACATAAGAAGGGGTTAGTAATACAAATTTGATTAGGCTTGCTAGACGCTACCTAGACGATTCCACATCAAGTATTCAGAAGAGCCGCAGCGTCTTCAAGTATCTTAGCTTTGCTCCACTTTCTTTTCTATCCTGAGAAATATTATGGCAAATGTCCCAGGAATGCTGAGTTGTGAGTGAAACCTTGGCTCCAGCTGGGATCAGAAGCCACTTCTCTCGCTCGCAGGACAATTGTGCTATCACTTGCGTTACCGGTGCACCACTTCACCCTAGCTCTACTTATGTAGACATATTTACCATAGCTGGTCAGCACTAACATGTCTCGTGTAATGGGAAAGTTAAGATAACATGCAGTAATTCGAGAGACTCTCAGAGCTTCCTGCAAGTTTTGCTGAGCCGCGAGATTGTAGATGATCACTGAAGCCTATTCATTTTTTGCACTGCCCGACCTAAATTGGGCGGAAGTGGTGTAGTGGCAAGTGGCACGCTTACCACGCGAGCGGTCCGGGGATCAAATCCTGGGTCGTGAGTCGCCCGGGCCAACCAAGCCTTCCATCCCTCCGGGGTCGGTTAATTGGTACCAGACTTGTCTGGGAGGATAAAAACACTGACTTGTACATCGGCTGGCCCCGCAAGTCATTGTATAGGCCACATCGCATTCAAACGCCACTACGAATGTACAAATGGAAGTAGAATGCGTGCCGCATCCCAAAAAGGGATTGATCAACGGCAAATGCTTTATCCTTTATCCTTTATCCGACCCAAGTTCTATAGCTCAATCTCTGGATCTGTGGCTAAGACTTAAAAGCTCCGGACCGTTCAAAACGCATACCACGGGGAACACTTCCAAGCGCAAGAAGGGATCAGAAATACCATCTGCCGATGTAGCTTAGCGACGAAACCAGTTTTCTGGAAACGATGTCCCAGAGTTTACTACTACCGGATTAACTCAGTGACAGGGTACACACACACATAGGACTAAGTTCTTCTACTCGCTATTATGTAGATATCGAATGAGATTTAGTATACGTTTCAAGATAACATACCCTCCACCTTTGAAGAAAACTGCATAATCCGTTTCGTTCGTTCTCTCAACAAATCGAATGCAAGTTTCTCGTTGCCATTGCTTCATACCTCTCCAAATGAGTTTTTTCCATTCAGCTGAAAAAATAGCAGTATAGTTGAAACAAGCGCTGCTTAATTGATATTGAGATTACTGTTGTTGTCCTTGAACTCATATGGTACGACAGCATTGGGCCATCGAAATTTTTTCCCGATAATAGCAGCATTTCTCCTCTTCCTTAGTTTCCGCCCTAAACCATAACTTCTACACGAGCACTCATTACGAACTTCTACATAACACTGCATAGCCTGTCATCACGATTTCGAAGAGCAAAAGCCATTTAGACTAGAACACTGCTGTAGATTCTTAGGAACTCGCTGGTGCCATGACAGACCTGTGACCCTTGCTTTGAAATTCTCCATGACCTCGTCCATCTGGGGCTTTGTGAGTAGAAGATCGCTTTCGAACACCTGAGTATTAGAACACATCATGAACCGTGACCTGTCCTCCACTGGATTGTAAGATCAGGTCAACCAGTGATTCTTGTAATTATTTTATTTCTTTTATTGCAGCGCGCTTAGCCATGTATACTTTTTTGTGTGCATCAGTGAAAAAACTGCTACTTCAAAATATCTATTGGAGAGGCTGGAACCTTTTACAAAAGTGCTACCAAAGTCTTGCAAAGGTTTCCCAAACGGTTATAACATCAGAAAAATGAGGAAGGGGCTCATTTCGTTTTCTTACATTGAGTATTCCCTTGAGGCCCTGGATGAGTAGCCTGAGGTAAGCAAACCAGCCCTTTTGGCGTTTCGGCTGGGACCGTATGCTGAATGTTGGGGAGGGGATGGGGTCCCCAACGGTCGACGGTTTACTTCAACTCGGTTGGTACGATAGGAGAGTACTGACGCAAGTGGTGCAGCTGGTCCAGCAGCTCCGCCAGAAGGGCTGGTTTGCTCACCCCAGGACTAAGCCTTGGAGAGGGGACGGACCCGTCCTCTCTTTAAGGCTTAGTTCTGAGGTAAGCACCAAATTGTGGCGGTTCTAAGGACCGAGTTGAAGTGGTCCGTCCACCGTCGGGGACTCCATCCCCTCCCCAACATTCAGCATACGGTCCCAGCCGAAGCGCCAAAAGGGCTGGTTTGCTTACGTCAAGTAGCCTCAAGGCAATAACGGCATCTTTGCTACGGTATCTGTTAAATATAATGGATCAGCGCGTCCCTTGTAGTTTTTAGAAGCATATTCGTCACCTCATGAACATACGAAAGTCCTGATAACGCTATCTATGCTACGCTTTACCACTTCGCAAGAAAATTTGTGGGTATCCGTAGTGCGAATTCAGAGAAACTTCCGCGGAAATATGACCCTCCATAAATTCTAAGCTTGAGGCCATTCTTCACGACAAGAACAAAAAGAGCAAGAGAATAGCTTTCGATTTGGCAAACAGTGCACAAAAATCTAAGAAGGATTACTTGAACAGATGTGCATCTGTCGCAATATGGGCAGCGGGAACACCCCCACTTGATTCTTGGATTGCTGTCATTGAGTAAACTTTTTGGCTTTTCGTCTTTTTGTCATTTAATTTGTCTAATGCATCCTGATCTATCTATATGTACTTTTGCCCTTACCCCTCTGAATTAGAATGCTTATGTTAAATTCAAGGTTTCGCCTAATATAAACGTGCCCGCCTCACCATATACCCTTTGTCTCCGGCAGCTAAGTGCGTGTCATGCAGATTTCACAACACAAGTGACGACGGTCTCCAAAAAATATAGCTGCTTTCTGCCAACGGAAAAGATTAGCCTGTTGCTGTTTATGCCAATTATCACTAATTCACCGTATTTATCAACTATCAATTATCATTATAAACTGTTCGTTACCAGATAATTTGGAGGCCGTCGTCACGTCCGTTGTCTAATCTGTATTGCAGACTTCTCTGGCTGCTGGGCCGCTGGGTGGGGGGGAAGGTTCCCCTTGGTGTGGTTCACTGGGACAGAAAGCGACTTTTCGCGTTTCGCGCGCGAAACATTTTTCGCTGCAGGAACTCCAGGTCCACTCATGATCAGCGGTGGACCTGAGGTTCCTGCAGCGAAAAATGTTTCGCGCTGCGAAACGCGAAAAAGTCGCTTTCTGTCCTAGTGAACCACACCCGGTTCCCCTTGGTATAGCCCATGGGAAACAGCGAACGCGTAACAGGCCTTCCGGTTTTTCAAGTTGTTTACTAGAACGGATGTAAATTTTTTTGTTCTTTCCGTTCTTATCAATGACTGATCTCATGCCAGTGGCCTGTGAGTGAAATGGAATCATGATTTCTCCGTGAGCGATTTATTTAACACTCACAAAAGTACTGCGATAGAACAACTCAAAAAGTACCATGAGACCTGAAGATCCCTACTATATATAAAGCGCTAATGTCTGTCTGTCTGTGTGTGTGTGTGTGTGTCACGAAATTCATAGCACGCGTCGCAGCAGTCGTCAGGAGTTGATTTCTGGGATATGATATAGGGGGTGGGACGGGAACATATTTGGTGGGGTCAGAAAGTGATAACGACTGATAAGAGCTGATAAGAGGCGTTAGAACGCAAATTTCACGAAATTCATAGCGCGCGTCCCAGCAGCAGTGGGGAGTTGGTTCCAGGAAGTGATGTGCAGGGTGGGACGGGAACATATTTGGTGGGAGTCATAAAGTGATAAGGACTGTTAATGGCGATATACGTAACGACATAGAAATAGCTTAAAACCAAATACTAGATAAGAACCAAACTCATTTCTTTCCTTCTTCGTCGCGTATTATCGTCTCGAAATCCATTCGACCGCTACTCTTTAGAAGCTCTTAGAAATGTATGGACTGAGTTTTTTATCTTAACACCATTAGCATCAAATATCATCCAACCGCTAAACTACCCTGACATTTAACGCATGGTGGTTGTTTACATGCAGCACTTTAGCTTCGCACTCTATCGCGCGTATCAAACGGTGAACTTCAGCAAAATGGGGAGATGCTATGGGAAGGTCGGCTGGCGCATTTTCCGATGCAACTTAGGGTTGCATTCTTTAGCGGTGGGATCTAATGTTGCACAGGCCATACATTTTCAACGAAGCCTACTGTGTCACGTGCGCGGTAGCGTGCGGAGCAAGACTGGTTATAATAACTGGAGAAAAGAAACAAGGAGAGGGTTAGCCGGATGTTTTTGCATGACGCTACAGAAACAGTTTTACGGTAGGACATACCTTCGAGAGAATTCCGCGATTCGCGCTGTACTCGGTTCGGTCGACAAATTTCTGATCAGTTGACTTCTGAACAAGAATAATGATTAGAAGGTGAAATAGCACGAAATTCTTGGACATACCAATACGTAATTGGATCGCGCTTTGGGTGTCAGGCGATAATGGGACGTCATTTTGGAGAAGCTTTCAAGGAATGTTTGAAATATGTCCTGGCCATCCCTAAAATTGAGTACACGTGAGTTAGATGGGAAGATTCCGCTCAATACACAATGACAAACTTACTGCGCGGCGCAAGACGAGAGAACAAGGAGAATGAATGGCAGCGCACAATGAAGCATATGAGAGATTCAGCAAACGCCCTGTATTAGGCCTATCTCCCTAGCTAATCTCGCAACTGGATCTCCGGCAGCGACAAGTGGGCTGTTCTTACGTCATGAAGTTTTATTCGCAATATAACGGGGTTTTATCGAGATCCTATGCGGAAACGGAAAAAATTCAATCAGGCGGTTCCTTTTTATCCTACCCCCTTACCCACCCTTCGCTCCCACTGTACTGCCCATGCTCACTTCGGCTATTCGCTCTCGCAGTGTGTATCCGGACATTTGAAGGTTTATGGAGCGTTGCCATAGGTAAACTATTAGATTTTGAGACGAAAAAGTAGTCTGGCATGTTAAAGCGCACAAATGTCGAGAATGTTCAGAAGAACGTGCTGCTACAGTGCTCTACAGTTTAGATTTCTAATAGTTCAGAGTGCACTTCCAGAGGGTAAAATTCCATCAACTAACTTGGCTTTTGGGTCTGACCTGGCCAGTTTCTGTCCAACTACAGTTCACCCAAATTCTGCGAACCTTGTTGCGTAAGTGCCCATTCTATACACATATCAAAAGGAACAACCAGAGTAGTCGAGTGGACAGTGGCAATTGAATCGCACTAGTGCAAGTGGATGCATTAGCCTATTGAACACTGATCAATCCGGTTCCCATATGTGGGATCGATGAAGGAGAGCCACACGCTGGGGAAGAACCGTCCCTCTCCAAAACAGCCAGGAAACCAGAAGAGCTTGGCGGCAAAAACCAATACCCGAAGAGAAAACCAGCAAAAGTAAGAAAGGAACCGGAGTGCGAGGGAATTGGACAACAAAGAGCATCCAAGCTCAGCAGGGAGACATAACTCCAAAGAACAGATACAAGCTTGGATGTTCATCACAGGAATACGAGAAGGTAGCAAGGGACTCAATAAGTCGTTTGAGGCAGCGACTACGATAGGATTTGGAGTGGTTTAGGGAACATGGGATACTCAGTTAGTGGCGAGAAGAGCAGAGAAACTGATGCAGAAAACGCAAGACCCCTCCCTTTGTATAGCCGTTGATTTTTGCTCAAGGATGGGCAGCGGCTAAAATGGCGGGCGTGTGGACCTCTAGCTTCCTTGAGGGCCAAGCTACAGCTTTGTGTGGTTCATATACTACCGACGCGCGTCCCCTTTATTATAATCAATTCCATGGAGGCGGTGCCAAAGAGGAACTCATCAAATCCAGTCTTGATTCGCTCAGTATGTCAAAGACGCCTTCGCTTGGAAATCGAGGATTCTTGCAGAAAATGTTAGAAATCCCGCATATCCTAAACTTATAACCTCCTCCAATTTGAACCCATCGGAAAAACTCAATAATTCCACTGATGGGACACGCACAGCAAATTTTCTCTGATATGCTTTTCAGCGCCCCTTATCGGTCTTATCAGGCGCTGTCACCTTCTGACCCCCTCCAATATGTTCCCGTCCCACCCTCTACATCCCTTATCGAAACCATCGCCTCTCCGCTGCTGGGACACCCACAGTAAATTTCGTCTGATATGCTTTTCAGCCCCTCTTATCAGGTCTTATCAGGCGCTGTCACCTTCTGACCCCCTCCAATATGTTCCCGTCCCACCCTGTACGTCCCTTGCTTTCATATATCACCCATC